AGCTGGTACATCACATATATATATATATTTGTTGATAATTAAGGAAAGAAGCTGTAAGAGGGAAAGCGATTTCTTCAGTATATTTAGAAAATAATGTTGAGCTATCAAGGTGATCATCATGAACAACTACTGCTGGTTTCTCGTTGGAGAAATTAATGCAATTCATGATAGAAATAACTACAGAATGCTTTTTATATCGCTCCCACGATTTATTCTAACATCAGTAAATATTTAATATAAATAACATACTGAATGTACTCTATTAATTCTGCACTTTTATTTATTTACTTATGTATTTCTACAATGCATAGCAACATTTCTATTTGTTCTTTACCACATTAAATGAAGTTTAACTATCTTGATAAGTGACAGACACAACAGGCGAAGGACCTCCATCCCAGGTCCTCATTATACGGGACCCATTCAGAGTTTGAAATATCCAACGCCCGTGGGCCTCGTTCTCACAGGCGCAACCCCCGCAGTCCCCGTCCAGTTTTTACTAAGCCATTGGGCAGAACGATACGTTGCTAGTTTGATACCATGGAGGTAGGAAGTAAGACCTCCATGTTTGATACGCTGTACGCCTTTCCTACCTCCATGTTTGATACGCTGTGACCTTGTCTCCGGGCACCACTCCATCGGCAAAACCACATTGTAGAAAGGTGCTCTGTCCGCTTTGTCAGTCCCCGCCACGAGAACTGAATGGGGTCAAACCCCCGGGGAACTCAGTCGACAAATGTACCATGTAGCTCCACCACAGCCGAAGGAACAGACACGGCAGTACCAGTACGGTCCCTGCCAAGCCTGAACCAACCTGAGTACAATACTCGGGCTAGACTGCCTAGGTACAGATCCTAACCAGTACTTCCCAGGCATTCGCCTGAGTCAACCCCCGAAGTAAAATCATGCATTAAGGTATCTATCTGCCTACGTTAAAAAAACGATTTCGGCAAAAAAATTCGATTTTTTTTTTAATTGCCCAATTTGAAAGACCAGATTTTGTAAGATTTCCGAAAAATGGTTCATTTTTACGTTTGTGATAATTAGAAGAGAAGATATAGACAATTAACTGCACTGGAAGTGAAAGCAGAAAGACCGGAAGTGCCATTTAAAAGGCCTCAGCTTAAAGGTAAACAATGTTGTTATCCGTGTTTTGTGGTTTTTTTTTTTTTTTTTACCTGTTTGTGTGTTAAATTGTGCTAAAACATTTCATTTTAATTTTGGGTACTTTTTTTTTTTGTTTCTGGCAATAATTATTTGCCTTAATTTTTTGAACGGGGACTGGCAACATTGCGGTTTTTTGAACTGGGTCTGGCAACATCGCGATTAGGTATAAATTATTTGAAAAGCTGGGTGCATATATAGCCGTTTTAATTTTTAATTCAGAGTATCTTGGTTTACTTCCTGTGTTTGAACATTTAGGCATATCAATTGAACAAGAAATGATTAAAAATTACTTTGGAATTGATAACGAAAGAATAAAGAACTCGAAACGTCATTCTTCGCTCATTCCGAAAATAGCCAGAAAAAAAAAAAAAAAAAAAAAAAACAAAAAAAAAAATTAAAATTAAAATTAAATAGGAAATCAAAATTACTTAAGTATAAAGATATGGAGGGTGTGTGATGTACAAATGTGGAGAATTTTAAGTGTGTAAACACACACAGAACAGTTTTTTTCTGTTAATGTGAAATCTTTAAATGCGTTTTTCTGAAAAACTAATTTTTTCTAGTGTTTTTTACTACAAGAAATGTAATTACTCAAAATGTTCTAAAGGTATCTCTATTAAATTTCACTAAAGTGTTTCTATATTATTTATTAGGTTTTAAGCTACAATCTAGGTAATATTTATTAATTTGATTGTTTTATAAGTATTTCTATATAAAACGATAAGAAATATTTTACAAAGAACCGTGTTTTTTTCATGTAATTACACATATTTTAGTAAATTTTAGAAATATCATAAACATTTTAGTTCATAACACAGATGAGTGTTGTAGTAGTATACAGTATAATAAAATTGAAATATATGCTGTGAGAAAAAAATATACGACATTTAACGTAAGTGTTTAAATTCTCTAAAAATGTGCATAAATTGCATATATTAAAAAAATTATGAAATATTCCTAAAAATACCCTATTTCCATGATTTGATATCATATTTTGACTAAATAAATATATATTTCATCAGAATTCTATGTTTAAAAAAAAAAAAAGTGCTCCGAATGTAGGCAGATACCTTAACAAAATCAGTTCTCTTTCTCGCGAGGGGGGGGGGCGCAGAATGCTTATTACACTTATCAAACAAAATCTTCACGCGTTAGGAACGTTTTACTATCAATTTCCTGTTACGAAGAGTCAGCTTAGTTAAAATGATCTGCTACATCCATGCAACGGATAATAAGTTTATATTTGTCAAAAGTGTATGAGGAGGTACCCAAAAGAAATCAAACTCAGTTTTTTTTCTTAAACTTATTTATTCACATTTTAAGTACAAACCTTCAATCCCCTTGAAACTACTCTTCCACTTGCACCAAGAAACTTGTCTAATCGTTTACTCCATTTTTCAAAATACTGTTTAAATTCATCTTTTGTAATGCTTGACAGCGCCTCCGTCGTTTTCCCCTTCACCTCAGCAAAAAAACGCTTTCCCTTGATGTCTGTTTTCATTCCAGGACATTCTTTCATAATTACGATCTTGTTTTTGTTCAGCAGTCAGCAATCATGGCACGAATTTGGAAGCCATCCTTTTCATTCCCAAATCTTCAGTCAAAATTGGCTGCGATGAACTCCAAGTCACTCCCGACAAATCCACAATTTCTTTAATGGTCCGTCGTCGATCTTCGTTGATGACTGCACGAATTTTTTCAACGTTTTCAAGTGCTAGGGCCGTGGAAGGAAGACCAGGACGAGGTTTGTCATCAACTGACATTTCACCATTTTGGAAACAGAAAAACCATTAAACACTTGACGCTTCCCTATAGCATCGTCTTTGTACGCTGTTTTTAACATTTTAAGAGTTTCTGATCCACTTTTTACGGGCAAAAAGCATAATTTCAGCTCCACACGCTGTTCACGAAAATCAGCCATGGCGAAATTGACAACCACACATAACAGTTGTCACCATAAAATTCCGCCGAAACTTGTCTTAACCTTCTGCAGCGACGGCATTTGGCTTACTGATTCAGGAATGTTCGCTCTTTACGCTCCTAGCGGCAAAACGCGGTAGTTCAAAAGCTCTACCCACTGATTTTTTTTTCTCAGTACCCCTCGTAATTATCCACGCTTCAGTTACTATTAGAATAATGAACGTTCTAATTAAAAATGCACTGCACTGAGTAGAAAAAATAAAAGGAATCTTTGAGCACATATTTCTTTTTCAAACACACACAGGCGAACAAAAATTTACAAAAATGATAAAAAATTAAAACAAAACATTTAGCATAAAATTTAGTTACATCTTTTGTAGTACACATAAAGGGACGGGAATAAGATCGTTCGGTATCGAATTATTTGTCGTTACTGACAGGGCATGACTTCATTTTAATTTCATGAAACGACTTTCCAGAAATTCCGTAGAAAGACCGTATTCCAGAAATACAGCAAAACTTAGTGATTCAATTTTCTAGTTTGAATTTTGAAATAAATTACTCCTCAGCATAATTTTATGGAAATTCTGATTTAAGGTAAAAAAAAAAAAAAAAAAAAAAAAAAAAAAAAAAAAAAAAAAAAAAAAAAAAAAAAAAAAGGCCCCTCAACAATTTCAGTGGGGGGAGGTGATAGGGAAAAAAATCCAGAATTTGAGATTCTTACCACATTCGCAAAAGCTAAGAAACTTCGCTAAATCTGCAATAATAATCCGCTCTAAAACTACTGCTCTAATCATAAATGGCAAATATTTTCTTAAATTCTGTCGTAATAGAAGAAGAATAAAACTTATAGGAGAAATTAACTTATACATATTGTTACGTTTTTCCCATTCTTCTGACACCAGCTGTTGCGTTATTTTCTTACTTCACGTTCGTACGGGGTTCGTAGATTTGGAGTGAATAACGACGACACTGGATGAAGTATCGAAACACACTTTATTTATTAACATTAATCAGGACAGCTCGAAAACACTTTTACAGTCGTCGAAGATCTACTATAAACACGCTGGAAAAATCAACGACACAGCCTTCAGATTATCAGGCTACGGTGGAGACAGCTTCCTGTAAAGCAGCCGACTCTGCTTTCTGGAGTACAGCTCCCGACTCTGCTTGCTCGTTCTCGGAGCTCCACGAACTCTCGAGACTCTCCACGCTACAACTCGCGATGCACTCGACGACACACGAGCACAGCTCCCGACTCTTCGGTTCGGTCTTTCCCGGAGCTCAACACGCTCTCTCGACGATGCACTAGCCGCGATACACTAACAGACTCCTTCAGTGGACTCGACGACACACTCGGCACTCAACTCGATCGACTCCGCAGGGATTGACTCGCTAGACGAGGCTCACACACTCTCGATGAGAGACACACTCTTACTGACTGCAGACCAGCAGGGTTTATATAGCTTTCGGCTTGTGTTCGGGAACATTCTGGACTAAACCGGTAAGAATTCGTTCCAGAAGGTTCTCCAACCGTCCATGGTATTTCGCCAATTTTGTCGCCAAATGGGCGCTTTCTCGCCAAATATGGCAACCCTAAAACTGCTTTGTGAGGAAGCCATCTCACCGCGCCTGTACATTTCGTAACAATATAAACGATTTGTTTCAATAAAATTTTCATTTACATTGTAAAATTTTATTCGTCATTTGTTTGATTAGTAAAATGGTTGAATAATACCTATTTTTGATAGAAAAAAGTTTTATAACTATATTACTATGCACGTACCACTTCCTATAGCTCCACTTACTATGCATTACTTAAATTACCATAATTATTTACTACACGTAAACAGATTATTTAACTCCAATTTTTGAAATGCCGTAGCCCAGGATTCTTATAATATATGACTTACCAGCAGAGTAACACTCAACTTCGTGAACATTACTTAGAATAAGAGGTGTATCCAGAGGCTTATGACTGGAGACCCAATTCCGAGACACCTGAAAATACAGCGAAAAGGAAGATTTACAGTTTATAATAGAAAACAAGTATATATATATATATATATATATATTATATAATAATAATAATAAAATTCCATAGTCAAGAATACACTTAAAATTCTAACTGTATGTTCTTTTCATTTTTAATGGCGACTTTCTCTTATTTGAAAGTACGTGGAATTAAATCCACAGCCCCGTAGTCAAGTTATTTTTCCTGCCTTTTCTACACGTACAATTATAGAATGTTCTGGAAGTATTTAAGGCGAACTGGACTGGCTGACGTCATTTCTTGGAAGCTCTGCCTTTCCAGAGGCTATAAAAGGACTCGCAAAAGAATATCGGGGCTTTTTCTTAAATGTCACGATGCAGTAAACTTCATACAAAAAGTTATTAGTAATTCTTTTTATTTACTCCGGATATCTGATTTTGTAACTGCTATTTGTCCTGAATGATAATAAATGGATCCTGTTTATTTTTTTAAAACTTATCGTCTGATAATTTAAGCTACGACTAAAGCTGGTACATCACATATATATATACAATGCCACTTTACATCATATTGGTACAGTCGTGGCAGAGCGGACAACACTACTAATAAGGCACATTTTAATGTGCACAAAAGTGAGATTTACACAAAAACAGATAAGAAACATATAATAAACCAGGATAACTGTGGATGCGTGCATATTGGTAGAATAGTCCATCACCGGAGGAATTAGTCGCGATTCTGCCATGGAAGTTGCCTTTCACCGGTTATATGTCCAACATAAATGTCACAAGAATATATATATATGTCCAACATAAATGCTACAGGAATATCTTATCGTATCGATGACGATCGATTTTTTCATGAGGTTTCATTGTTTCATGAAATGAAAACTGTTATTTCAATATAGAGCCGAACTGGTCATATAAGAAATTTACTGAATTCAATAATTAGAGTCATTTGATTATTTAAAATTTGGCAATATAGGTATAACACATACACATACCGGAAATGAAAGAGGGGGGTAACTACAATTATTAATAAACGTATTTATACGATGTACAAAAAGTCACAAAATTCTAAGAAATTGTGTCATTATATACATAATTGTTTTCCTAATTGAAATTAAAAAGCAGCCAAAATGACTTCCTTGCGTAATCAAGGTTAACGAGGTTGGACTGTATGCGAGAAAACCAATAGTTTGTGTCCCACTCACTCGAGTTTCCAGGGTAACCCGTTTAAACTGGTGTCGTCTTCGTGTTCAACAAAGCCAAGATGATTGAGCCCGAGTTTGTGCACTAACGAATCCAGATAAAATATGAAGAGAGATTCTAGACGTGTTTTGATCTGGAGCACGCAATTTTCCTTCTCTTGCCCGTGAAATATTCCGTTTCCGCGGCCGTGGTTTAATGGTTTGGGAAGGAGTCACGACAAATGGCCTCAACCAGCTGCATATCTTCAAAGGAGGTTCTCTGACAAGTCGGAGATATGTGAACGAGGTACAGGAATCCCAAGTTAGACAATTTAAGGGTACTGTTGGCCCAGAGTTTTTGCTAATGACAATGCTCGGGCTCACGGAGCATATGTGGTGTCAGAATGCTTGCAAACAGACGGTATCACTCGAATGGATTGGACACCTTATTCAACCGACTTGAACCCAACTGAGCATGTGTGGGATGCCTTACAGCGGTTAATTTCAGCGCGTCAAATTTCTCCCTGAACTCTCCAAAAGCTGAAAAGTGCACTTTTAGAAGAGTGGCGTGCAATTTTACATGACTTAATGAACACTTTGATTAAGTCTATGAAATCAAGATGCATGTCTGTCCGAGGTGACCATACACCATATTAAAGTAAAATTTTTTTCCACAAGAGGTGATTTAATCTTCACAACATTTTCCAGTTTCCATAAATTTGCTTTTAATTTCAATATTTTGCAAATAATCAACAGCCAGACATTGTAATTTATGTTAACTAATGCTATTCTACGAATTTCTATTAATAATTTTTCATTATATATCAGTTACGTATTATTTCTGTCATTATCCTTTAACTAATGAGACCAGTGCATTATTATTCAATGATGTTGGAATTTATTTCTCATGTCTTTTGTAAAAGCATACAGCGCTCTATTTATTACAGATTCATAAGAGACTCAGAAGCGAAGTTACAACTATCATTATAACCTTGTAAGGATCCTAAGTTTTACTAACGTTTATTTTATTTTAAAACGTACTAACACTTCTTATTTTCTACTTCCGACCAGAATTAAATGCTTTAACTTGTTTATGCAAATAGTCTTGCTAACGCCCAAGTACTTAAAGTTGTGGCTTTTTGCCAAGAGTTAGAGAGAGAAAGAGATTTAGGAAGCAAGCCGCTTGCCACTGCAGTTTTACGAGTTTTCACTCGGTTGCTGGTTGCCTTTAAGGCCAGAGGTTTAGCCCTCTTGATATTTGAAAACGTATTGTAGTTTCAGCAGCACGGCGTACTACATACGTACCCTTTTAAATAAAGTCCCGTCTTAGTGTTAGGGCATTTGTATACTAATTCAAAGTTAGCTTTAGTTAGAGTTTTTGTTAGTAGTTTTATATTCTTACGTTCAGACCACAAGTGGTTGGTCTCTGTATCCCTAAGTTCGGGAGTACTTGTAAAAGCATAGAAAATAAAGGGTTTCGTATACCCTTCCTGCTTGTGTCATCTGTTACACACAAATCTTGAACACAGCTTGAGTAAGCTCCCTGTTCTTATTCAGGACACATCATGTTTCCACAGCAAAATCAAGAGGAACAAAAGTCCTGACAACCTGACTGAATTGAGCTATAAAAACAACTCACACCTCAAGCATAGAAATGCAGATAATGACCACATCTTTCTATGAAGCATGAAGAGCATAAGAGGAAACTGGCGTTTCAAATGGAAATTTAATCTATGCTTGAAGTACAAGAAATAATACGATATTATAAGCAAAATGTCTTAACTGAGCAAAGATTCATCGTAAAAGTGCACAACAAAAGCTAAGTCACGTCCAAGTACAGTTGTATACCAGCAGTTGAAAAACTGCCATACAGATTTGACTGACGTGAATCAGTAAGGAAATCGCTCCACGTGAGTCCCTAGAAGACATTGCGCTGTAGTTTGCTAAATCACGGTTAGCAGACATGCAAAATTATGTTCTTCCCAACGCTAGAGTTCAAAGATGTTATTTGGCTTAGGTATGAGGGAGATATACAAAGAATATAAAGGAAGTAGTTGCTTCGGAGCAGACCACGGGTCACAGACTTCAATGCTAAAAGATTTCAGGTCGGGAAGAGCAAACTCTGTAGCACATCACATAGCATCAGGTATTGTACCGGGTTTTGTGTCTTGTTATAAATTTACCAAAGATGAACAAGTACGAATAGTGGATTTCTATGGCAAACTCCAAAACTAAGCAAATTGCTATCGACTGGAAATCGAACACTTAACTGAAAGTAATGTTGAATAATCATACCTTGAAACGTTGATGACTGTGTAAAATAGTGTGATGTAAGCAAATCACACTAAAGTTTTCTTGGATTAGAGTATCAAGCGTAATTTATTTTTTGAATCTCCTCGTCATAATCTTCATTACAGATTTCTTCGATTAAATGCTGGCAACTAATGTTCCGTTTAAATCGTGCGCGTGCATGGCAGCTCATTGATTTCGCTGAAATTTGTGAAGTATTGTTACGAAATGTACAGACGCGATAAGATGGCTTCCTTGCAAAGCAGTTTTAGGGTTACCATAAAATGGCAAGGGAAATCAGGGTTGTCACATTTGGCGAGAAATCGCCCATTTGGCGACAAAATTGTTACATATTCCGAAGACTAAAACATCACTCTGGATTCAGTTATATGTAAAAACATTCAGTTATGCGAACATTCTTTATAACTAACATATATGCGATTGCATTCAGCTCTTACATATAACTGATCTGATTCCGAACTCACCCAAAAGAAAGAATCTGCATCTGCATATGCTTTCATTTATAAACTCAGCAGAGAATAACAATCCGTTGAAAATTTGAAACAATCCCACACTTTAATTAACAGAAAATAATTTTATGTTTCCGAAAGTGCAAAATTTTCGAAATAAAAAGTACGGTATTAATTCTGTAACATACCAGTGGAATTAATATGATAACTTAGCATAAACTGTACTATGGCAAACGAATTCGCCTGCAGAAAAATAATTTACTTTACCAATAGATAAATAAAATATACCAAAAGTTAGTAAAGCATGTAAGTTATATGATTATAATAGTAACATTAGATTTACTATTCAAATTGTGCAGACCGAATACGGTTAAAGTTACATATAAGGGTTCGGATGCGGTTAGTTACATACAAGGATGAATTAACCGGACCAACATATCGCTAAATGGTCATCAACTTTGGTAACGTTTGGCAATTTCTCGCTAAATCTGGCGACACAAATTAGCAGCCTAAACCATCACCAGCTTGGCGATATCTCGCCAATTTACCTCAATGTTAAATAGACCTGCCCCTGTAATCTTATTTTTCAGGCAGAGCCTTCGTCTTTTTCAAGCATTTCATATTATACTATACAAAATACTACAGTTTCCACATAGAATTCCACTAAAATTATTTACATACATACAGAAATTTGTAACATACTTAATTAACATAAGTTACTTAATAAAGTCACCATGTATGTGGAAGTTATTTATTAAATTTAAACCCATTTCAGCCGGATTCGCATTTCATATACTAAACTGCCAATATCTAAACAGACAAGCTGTTACAATAGCAGGGGGTTGTAATTACCAATAGTAGAGCTCGTATTCTAGTAGCTATCTAAACAAGAATACAATTCAAAGATCTCCCTGAGAATACACTATCGGACTAAATACCTACATGAGTAGTGCAAAATATCTGTCCTTTTGGATTATTTTGCAAGAAGCCCTTTCAAGGCATATATTTCTTTAATCGCAGGAGTATATACGATCCAGCAGCATTTCCAAGTTACTTCTTC